GGAGCGTCCGATTTGAATAATTCAAAAAACATTTTATTTATATTGACTAAATGAACAACTGTTTAAATTTTTGGAAAGGCAGGTCCAACGACTTTGGAGATATGGAGAAAAAAGTAAAAAAATGAGCCATTTGGCGGTCAAAAATGAACATTAGACATATGCGCATCAAATTATCAGATATTTTATAGAGATTTTAACAATAAGTATTTTTTTTTTTCACTTTTCTATGGGTTCCGTACCAATGCTTATGCGATAGTCGGCGGCGCAGCACTTGCGCGCTTTGACATTTCGTCTCTATGCAATTCAAGCAGTACGATTGCTTTGAAAGTTCTCTCAAAAGTTCAGAATTTCCAAAATATGTCAAAATGAAGAAAACATTTTTCTTTTCAAAAAAAATTTGTTTTCAAAAAATAATTTTTTTTGAAAGTTATTTTTTGTCGAATTTATAGTTTCTCAAAAATCTAATTTTTTCAAAGTTTTTTTTCGAAATTTTTTTCAAAAATGTTAATTGTTTTTAGAAAAATAATAATTTTTAGTACGGGAAGTTCCTGCAATTTGCCTTAAGGCACGATGCCTTAATTGCCGTAATACAGAATTCCACTTACAGCTAGTTTGAATTATTAAAATCGGACGCTCCATTCTCTTAAAAACCGAGTTACCATTTTTGGCACTTTTTGCCCCGTATCTTCGAAATGGCTAGACCTGCCTTTGCCAAAAACTAATCAGCACGTCTCCTAATCAATACAAATCAAATATTTTTTGAATTATTCAGATCGCTTTATCCGTGTTCGCGAAATCGTCGACGAAAATTTGTATCCGCACACACATACATACACGCACACACACACACATACATCTATTTTTTCTAAGGTATGCCAAAATGTTCAGAAGGTTTTGAACCGTAAAGTTATATAAAAATTTTAATTTTCGATTTTTTTGCGATTACTATAACTTGCCCTACGGGAAGTTAATAAATAGTTATTACAACTCCTGCTGATGAATATTGTTGACGAAATACCAGATCAAAATTATATCCAGAGTTATCTCTGTAAAAAATGCATTCATGAAATTTATATTTTTCATTGGTTGAATAATGTAGCTGTTATTCTATAAAATCCCTTTAAAATTAAAATAAAACTTGAAGTTGTTTCCTCGTGGCCGTTCCAATTTACCCTACCTACGGGGAAAAAAACAGGTCACAATTTATCGAAAAACAGTAAAAAACACATTTCTGCAATGATGAATTTTTTGGGAGTTCTTTTGAACATAGTCAGATAGTTGTTCATTATATATGTGTTATTTGTTGTAATATAGGTAATTGTATTGGTTTTCACAATATAATTGCTCGAAGTCAAAATGGACCTTTGTGCCCGCCCCACACTATATATACTGATATCAGTATTTATTTTCTAATACTGACTGATACCTCAAAGTACGAGTACAATATTTTTTATTATCAACTTCACATATTTTTGTTTTTAAATTTTAAGTTGTAATGCAATCGATTTATATTTTTGTTCATTTATAACATACAATTATAACAATTAGCAATGGAATCGAATAGTTAAAAAATCTTAAAATGCAACAACTAGTTGCATAATTTAAAGTTATAATTGTATTATTGTTTTATATGACTTGGTAAAATGTTTTATATTTATAATAAATAATTATTCTAATTTATTATTACATTTTCTCTGTAATATAATAGACAGATAAATACGTAAAAAATTTGCTGATATCCAAGTAGTATGTATGAACATTTAAAAATGTCCTGAATATATCAAACCTGTTCTAAACAAAATCATTGAAGCATATTGAACGATATAAATACACATCTGTTATTAAAAAACACGTTTTAATTAAAGCCAAAGACTAATCATTTCCTACGTGTGAATGTTACTTGCTTAAATGTTAGGAAAGGAATGACTTGACATTTTTATATCAAAAACGCCGCTCTAATGTGATGTGTTTAATAATAATATACCGTGAACGAGATGGTGTATACATAAAAATAAAGAATATCGGTAAATTAAAAAAGAAACAAATTAACTCCTAACAAACTATACGCCTACATATTTTCTTTGTCAAAGGTATTAGCCGGAATAAGTGTCCCGATCCCTAAGGTTCTATGCATTTTTCAATATTTAATACTTCAATATTATTAATGACTAGTTATAATTCTGAATATCAGTTTTCTAAAATAACATCATTCCAAATATCTTAAATAGCTAATGTGGTTTTTCAAATAAAGTTCTGCAGAAAACCGCATATCGAACTATTTGAGCAAATTTTAATAAACGTTATATTCAAATATATATTTCCCGATAATCATAATATTGAATACATGTAAATATCATCATCAATAGTTCACACATTTGTTGTGTATTTAACAGATTTTTGTGCCTAAATAAATTCACTATTAACCCTTTCCACTCGAATGCCGCAGGCAAAATACATATTAATCTCGCATTTTGCGAGTGGAAAGGTAAAATATCAATATGTAACTATTAGATTCATACCCTAATTTTAGATTCAAATATTCATTTCAGAATTACTAAGCTCTGTCTATAGTCTACATACTATAAATAAAATTTATATATTGTTATGATAGATATTTATATCATTTTATTATATGCAATTGAACTAAAAATTATAATTGAACGATTAATTGCATTATAAGATATTTAGAAATATACAAAAATCATAAAAAAGATGTTCAAAAATTATTATTATTAAATATTATTTCCTTTTCACTAATTTGTATAAGGATATTTATTTATCATTTGTATAAGGGTATTACTTTTCCATTAGAATGACGATCGATGTGTATATTTTACAAGAAAATCTGATATTTTCATAGAGTTTTTTATATTGAAGTTTTTCATAAAATCTGATCAATATATAATAAGAGTAAAGTAATGAAAAATTATATTTAACTTGTAATATAAAATATTTAAATTGCCTATAAAATGTATATACGAGGAGTCGCTCGAAATTAATAATCGATTTGGGATTCCATTATTTCATAAGAAAATTCAATAATGCTTACAAAAGAAGTTTTAAAAATAGCTTCATGAGAAAAATTGATAAAACATCATTATGAGTCGCTTTATGCATATATAGACATGATATTTTTCATGTTTTTGGCATAAAAAATATATATCAAAGTGTAAATTAAACTATAGTTTACCAAAAAAGTCATTGAAACCTTTGTGTGTGAGTGTGTTTTGTATGTAATTTTTCGTTCCTATTGATAGGAAAATGTGCCGATTAGTTTTTGGCAAAGGCAGGTCTACCAGTTACGGAGATACAAAGAAAAGAGTGCAGAAAACAGAAATGGAGTTTTTGAGAGAACGGAGTATCCGACTTGAACGATCTAAAAATATTTAATTTGCGTTGGCAGGGAGAAGTGGTGATTAGTTTTTGGCAAAGGCAGATCTAGCCATTTCGAAGATACAGAGGTGAATGTAAAAAAATGGCAATTTTTGAGAGAACTAAGCATGCGATTTGAATGATTTAAAAAACGTGTTGCTTGTTTTAACAAAATAATTGCTTTTGAAAAAAAAATTATTTCAATTTTTTTTTCAAACTTTTTTTATTTTAATATCGAAAATAATTCAGATTTTAATTTTAATTCTGGCTAAAGTTCCAAAGCTCACTTTAAATAACTAATTTTAACTTTGTAGTTCAGTTTTATTAATAAATATTAGACAGTGTTATAGTATTTATAATAATCTATTTAAACACAATTTAATATTCGTCAACCATTTTGTTATGCTGCGGGAAATTCTAGAAATTTGCCTTAAGGCACGATACCATACACCACTAGTTTTTTTATTGACTTTGTATGTTAGTACATTAGTCATTTTCACTATATTTAAACATTTTTTACTATGTGGTTTTACACTATTTAACAATTTTAATAAGAACTTATGAATTTATAATATTTATAACACTTTATTTGAAAATAATTAAAAGAATTGTTAATAATTATTGTATTTTTGTATTGATTCTTATTTTTATTCCTCGATTTCCTTATATTTATAATAATTATTAATTCAGTTACTTGTTTATTTCATAAGTTTGCGCCTAAAGAATATTATACACATTTGAATTGCGCGCCTTTCTTGTAACGCAACAAACAGAATGCCTATCTCCCCGCCAGTAGTTTCTATGAATCGACGGTTTCCCATCCCGTCATAGAGTCGGCTGTCAAACTGACAGCAGATCTTCGTAAACTTCAATGTTTTCTTAAAATTAAAAATATTGTTTTTAATATAAAATTTTTAATGTTTGTCGAATAATAACCACTAATAACTCAAAACACATAAATTTACTGTAAATTCCAGTTGTAACAATTAGTAAAGTGATACTTATTTCGAAAGACATAGTTTTGGGTTAGAACAACATATAGGTTAGGTTTGGTTTTGCTTTGTTGACAAAATTACAAATAATAGTAAAATGACTCGGATTTTATAGTAGTAGAGTTAATAAATACACCGATTATTTATAAATTTATAGTTTATTGCAAAATGCATTTAATGGTGCTAATTTTATTTTATTAATAAATTTAGTTGAGTCATATTGTATTGGCTGCACGTGGGTTGTTTAGTTAAGGAAATATATATTTTAACCATTTTTAGCCAAGTTAAACGTGGAAATATTTCATATTTTGATAATAAAATTTAATATTGTTGAGTCGTATTTTATCAACTGCACGTGGGTTTGATAGAAATGGAAGTAGAAATATTTTATTAATATATTTACAATATCACTTGCGCATATTTTACATAAGAATTTTTAAATTTTATATCATTAAAAATATTTTATTGAGTTTTAACTTATGTTTTTGTAATATAAATGTATATATTTTAATTTTTTTATTTAGTATAAATCATTCAGACTAACGAAAACAATTCATACTATTAAAAATTAAATTTCATTCCTAATGTGCGATTTTTTGTATTAACACAGTCAAGTGTTATAAACCGTAATGCCGTCTCGTCAAATATTTTCATATCAAAATCTTACTTGTTATCAGTGCATATTATGATAACATTTCTCTTGATAACTCAGCTTGTATATAAATATGTTATCTGACTTCTGCCATCCAGCATCTTACGGCAGTGTAAAGATTTTGAATTCATTAGTTAACGTTTCGAACAATTGCGTTAAGAAAGAAAACGAGTTTTTACCATTGCCCTCTCTCGCGGTGCCTGATTGTCTGCCGAGAACAGACCGAGAACCTTACAACGTTAATAATAAAAATAAAGTGAATAATAAAAATAAACTAAATAACTCAGACCCGAGTAATAATAATCATAATAATAAAATGAGTGATGTGAGTGTTGGAGTGTGGAGACCTAGAGGAGCGCTGGCAAGAGCGCTCATGGACAGAATGAAGAATGATGAATATCTTGATAACTTGGATCAGACTAAGGTGGTTATGTTTACTATTTAATATTTATATGTATAATAATATTGTGATAATATTATTAAATGATTATCATAGACAAATTTTTGAACATTGATTTAACCAATTTATTGCAAAAATTAGGTGTAAGTGGCTGTAAGGGAAGTGGCATCAATTTTACTAAATGAGTAAATAATTGATTTAATAAGGGCTCGCCCGTTAAGAGCGCCGGGACTTGATTCAGAGATCCCGGGTTCGATACCCACTTCGAGCAGCCCGTTGTCAGACAACAGTGCCAACGATTTTCACTTGGAAATACAAAACAAACAAACGATTTTAATGCTGGTTTCAAGTATATTTGGGGCGCTGATTTTAAAAATGACATTGGTTTTTTTCTATGAGCTTCAGTTTTCAAGATATGATATATAAGGAATGAAAGTACAAAATAATAATACAATTCAGAATGTTATTTTAATGAGATATGCCTACTCGTACATACAAACTTACAAGACCCATTCGGCCTTAGTTGGGACATTAGTTGACACTGTGAAAAGTTCTTTTCCGTGACGACCTAGAATAGACCTAGTTTCGGCAACTTCCTTCCAAGTTCCAACCTAGAGCTGATACAAAAAAATGATTTGCAGATTTGAAATCAGCGCAAAAAATACTATAAGAATCAGCTCTAATATTTGATGCACCAAAAAAAAAATTGTAGGCCTGTGTTATAGATGGCAACCCAAACAGTTGTCTCATCTCTGTTTTGTTTTTACATTTGTGACTTACAATCTGTCGTTCTTATACAACATTCAGTAATTTTGATGGTTATTAAATAAAGGAAAAAAGGTCGAAAGGTCACCCATTGGTGATCGAATCGATATCGGATATGTTCATCTCTATGTGATGAATTTTATTATTACAATTATTGTAATAGTGATAGACTTTCTATTTAGTAAATAGTGAAAACCGTTGTCACTACTGCTTGACAACATGCTCCTCGAAGGGGATTCGAACTGATCCAGGTCCAGTCGTTCTAGCCAATTACCTACGAGCAAGCCCAGAAAAACTTATAGAACTTATAGAACTATTAGATTCTGATTACTGTTCAAAAATAACAAAAAAATCGATATGTATTCGAATTGTGTATGATCTACCTGTCTAAATGCCTATTTACTTAAGTATCTACATGTCTGAGTGTCTACCTGTCTACTTTTGTATCTCAGTCGTTTTCCAATCCGGTTGTGACTAAATAACTATACTCGACGTATTGGTAGGCAATTTATTATTATATATATGCAGCTCCACCGCCGAGACCTGATTCTTACTTGATATCATATTTGAGATCTATAACCTTAAATATAAATTTGACATCAAAGCTGCAAGCTGAAATCACACTTGGTCGTGTCTGGAATCGATCCAGCAAACTCGGGACTAATTTGGGCTAGTCATGTCCGACACGATTTTGTTAACGCTGTCTACTTTTCTATTTGTCTGCTTTTCTATCTACCTTTCTACATGCCTGCATAGCTACCTATCACATCGTCATTTTGTCTACCTATGTATCAGTCTATCTTGCTACTTGTCTACTTGTCTACCTATGTACTTGTCCACTTGTCTACTTGTCAACCTATCTGGAATCTATTTTATTATTATCATGATATGTGAATAATATTGCCCACTGAAGAATTGAACAAATATGTTAACAGTTATTATAAATTCCCATATCATCTTACTGAAACAGAAGTTTGTTTTTGCCAGAAAATCCTATTTGAAAATTTTACATTTTCTTTACGTTTAAAGCTATTATAACTCCTCCAAATTTGAAAGTCCTTTTGTGAATAAGTGTGTGTGTGTGTGAGGCAAAATTTGATCTTGCGACAGTTTTCTCAAAAACGGTTGCATCAAATTCAAAAATTTTTAAATGATGAAATTTAATAAGCTTGAGCATTGATTAGTTTTAAAGGACGATCAACCTGGTCGTTCCCTTAGAATTTCCATAAAAGTGCAAAATTTTTCATCAGCATTTTTGCAATAAAAATCAGCTGATTCAACATTTCCAAACTTTTTGATTTGGAATCGAATTTGGATCGATTGTGAATCCTGCTGATGTTTTATTGGTGAAGTTCGACGTGTTCGCTTCTTCATTATTAATTTCAGTTTTTAAGTTATTAAAACTTTGTTTGACGAAAGATAACATGGTCTAAACTCTAAACTAACATACTAAAATATTACAGACTCTCGACAAACGGTTGAATTATGAAAATTCATCGAAGTTTGGGATAATAAAACCTCGCCCTTAGAATCTACGTCGTGTATATTCCGTTCTTGATATTGTAATTCCGTGTGATTACCGTTGACGTGCATTTGAATATATTGTTATTACACGAATTAAAATGAAATGTGTTGAATAAATTAATTTAATTTATTCAATTACAGATATTATAAGTTTGTTTGCATTTGGATTATTAATAGCATATCGTTTGAAAATTTTATGTAAATAGCTAAGTTTTATTTCTTATCGATTATGTCGCGGTTATTCACAACTAGTTTTAATTTTTATATGTTATATACTCGATACCTTATTATTCTACTACAGTAAAAGATTTGTCAGCGGGTATCATGTCTTCAAATTAAATACATTTATACGGCACTAATTTCATATATTACATGCGGCATATAAACGCATTTATGCGAGTATAAATTTAAAATAATATGTATGTTCTAATATTAAATTCATAAAAATAATTACCTTTCAAGAAAGCTTTTGTGGAATCATCATTTCATACAGGTGCACATATGCGAACTCTTCTGTAATTACATTTCATGGCACCAAACTCTGAATGTTCACCGTAGGTATACCGAGCTATAAATCTGTTGCATGAAAAGCTAGTAAATTGGTTTAGTTATTCTTCCCAACTTGTGGTTAAATTGCATTACATAATTCTACACGTGCATTGTGCATTGTTCAGAAAACGCATTAGATAACAGTTTCTAATAAATCACAACCTTGTCATCGCATTAATAACATCACGTTTTTTTGAGAGCCTTTTTATGATGGAAGACTGGACTATACTATCTGTAAAATAAATATTACAAAAATCTATGCTCAGAAAGAAATATTTTAATGTAGGAAATGTGTAAGCAAAACAAAGAAAAAAGAAGTATTTTTGGTATAAAATAAAAAAAAATTATCTTTAATTTTAATTCTAGTTTAACAAGCAGAAATGATGGTAAAACAGTTGTGTGCCACCAAAAACCAAACTGTAATTTAAAAAATTCAATAAGAATTTTTAAATTTTATATGTGTGGATCTGAATCATATGAATAATATATTTTTTTATAATTTCGATAAATGGTATTTTTATAAACTTTAATGAGATATTTAGGAAATAGTAGAATGCTGTTTGAGATGTGTTATTACAGCACTAATAACATATAATACAGTTTTGCAAGTTAGTTGTTCATTAGTAATTTTGCTATGCTATTGTAGGTGTAAATATAATTTAAAAATCTCATTATATTTTTTTTATAAATTGAATTTATCATTTTTATTCCGAATGAAACAAATCATCATAAGTATTTGTAACTCCTTACTAATATTCAGTTATTGTTGAGATATTTACCTAAACTAGACCTACAAATAACCTTTCACGCCTTACTCGTAAAAGAATTTTTGATTTAAGTAAGATTTACTATTTTTGCAATTTATAATTAAATTTTGGTATGTTGAATGAGTTTGCAGTATTTGAAAATTAATTTTATGGTAGACAGCTGCTTTTAATTCTTGCGATGCCAAGGCTTTGAACTATATAAGTCAAGAAATTAAGAGTTAAATATAACTTAGTTTATGAAAGAGTAGGGGAGACTTGATACGGTTGTGCCACATTTTTTTTAAACAATAATTTTGTTTATTCACCAGTTAACTGGGAGAGTAAATTAAATGGTAATTTGAACATTGAAAATTGTCAACTGGAGAATACTGACATTCAGTCCTTAAATGCGATGGATTTGTCATAAAATTAAATCATACAAGAAAAGGGCGGGTCACAACCGTACACACTCGAGGGACGGTTGTGACAGGCATAAAAATTTCTTAAAAAACAATAGCTATAAACATCAAAATTGGTTTATAACAACTTTTATTTCCGTTAATAACAATAATATATGAAACACAATGTTGTGTACACAACGTAAACATTCGAACAAAGCATATGAATAAAAAAAAGCAGTATATATATATATATATATATATATATAATATTCGTTATAACAAAACATATTTTTTACAAATAACAAGAATTTTTGGTGGAATTTTTATTGTATTAATATTTCCCTTTTCTTTCTCTTTTTTATTTTATATTTATGTCAGATTTTTTTATCTGTTTAATTTTTACCCGAAAAAGTCAAGAAATACATATCACAACCGCACCCCCAAAATTTGTCACAACCGTACCCAACGCACACTTTTGAAAAAATAAATCATCATTATGACTGAGCTAAATTATCTAAGCAAAAATTATGTAAAAACGATAATTAAATACTAATGTTCAACTTACAGCATAATAACGAACAAAATGATTTATCTATATACAATTAACATTTATTATTAAAAGAATTCTGTTTGTTATTCAAAAGCAATATAATCTACAGATTGTAAGGCACTGACTGAAAGCAAGAATGGGAACTTGTTCGAATTATCATACTTCATCTTTCTTCCTTTAGACCCTATCTCAAAATCTACACAGATTTTCAGCTGTTATGACGAATACCTCCGTACCCTGGCATAACCGTACCCAGTCTACCCTATAGTAAATACATAGAATAGACAAATAGAATACATAAAAGCGACAAATTTTTATTATTGCAAGAAAACAACTGCCTCACATTTAATTGTTATTTATAACGTCCATATTAAGACAATAAATGTAAATGCTATATTTTAGTAATACTTTAGTTCAATTTGTTAATTTTCAAATATATTATAAAAATATACGTTGAAAAATAGTATGTTGATGCTTTTAATCAACTAT